CTACTTAATACAATAGGATATTGGCTATGGAATAGTATACATGTGATTGTATGTTATGAAAATGGAAAATAAAAAAGTACATTTCAAAATTGAATAATTTCAAAGTTGTCGTCCTAGCCGCACAGTCACATGTACCCATGGTTCATTTTTGCCTTGCAGATCCTGGACGACGGGGGAGACCTCACACACTGGATTTATAAGAAGTACCCAAACATGTTCAAGAAAATCAAAGGCATAGTTGAAGAGAGCGTCACCGGGGTTCACAGGTAATAGACCAAGCCAGATAAGGTCTGTGACCGTAAATCCTCCCTCGAAAGACTTTACTGGAGGTGAAGGAGCAGAATTCACAGTCAATTAAGAAAAGGGGTTTTTTGTCGGGACCAGGAGTTGGCTTCATGCTCTCAGGAAGCCTCGGTTAAAACACTAACAGCCACAAAAACTGCAAAGGGAATTGTGGGAAACTCCTGATTGTGTGTGTTTTTTCCCCAACTTCTTGTCAGGTTGTACCAACTCTCAAAGGCCGGGAAGTTGTGTGTTCCCGCGATGAACGTCAACGATTCAGTCACCAAACAGAAGTTCGACAACTTGTACTGCTGCCGGGAATCTATTCGGGAAGGGTATGTCCCCTGCTGTTGAAGTCATCCCCCAATGTTCTTCTGTAGGTGGTCCTCGCCTTACGGCCACGAGGGAGGCTGAAATTTGCGTTGCCGAGCAAGACAGTTGTTAAACGAGCTTTGCTCCCATTTTAGGAACTTTCTTGCCGCCGTTGTTAAGGAAATCACTGCAATTAGATTAGTAACACTTATTTCCTGACAGCGAGGACAGTTAACCAGTGGAACAACTTGCCTCCAGAAGTTGCAAGTGCTCTATCCCTGGAGGTTTTAAGAAGAGACTGGACACTCACCTGTCTGAAATGGTAGAGGGTCTCTTGCTTGAGCAGGGGTTTGGACTAGAAGACCTCCAAGGTCCCTTCCAGCCATAGGTCTCTATGATTCTATCAGACAGATAAGATACATATGAGGGATGGATTGATAGCCACAAAGAAGAGGGAGTCAAGCTATTCTCCAAAGCACCTGAGTGTAGAACAAGAAGCAATGGGTGGAA